TATTAGACATGTGCGAAAACTAAAAATTTATTTCAGATGAAATGTGTATGTGTAATGCTCTGTGCGTTGTGCTGTGGCTATATGTGTAATGCCCTGTTGCTGTATGTGTGTTGTGCTGTGTGCGGGTTGTGCCCTGTGTGTGTTTGTTTGTGTTATGCAGGGCAACTGGTGGCGAGTAACTTTGAAGGCCTGGCTAGTAGCTCAGGACCTGACATTTGAGCCCTATAATAGATAATCTGTGAAATACATGCAGAGTGTTGTAGATACTCTATAGAAATCTGCCTCTGCAACAAATTGCACAACTTGCGCCAGGTACATGTACGTGTCGGTAAGGTGCTTATGTATTAGGGGTCCGATTATCGGATCCGGTGATATTGATCTTAAATTGACCTTGCCTGGATTCCACAGCCAGCAGCTGAATGTAAACAGCAGCCAGTGAAATAGCCTGCCTGCTATTGCAATAACAGGCTGGCTATTGCACCCGCCCACTGCCTTCTGTCAATCTGCAGTGGAGCAGACCTGAGAGAGAGTTTGTGGATGCAATAGCCAGCCTGCTACTGCAATTTGAAAACTTCTCTCGGTCTGCTCCTCAGCTGATTGACAGCAGGCGGTGGGTGCAATAGCCAGCCTGTTATTGCAATTTGAAAACTTCTCTCTCAGGTCCACTCCTCTGCTGATTGACAGCAGGCAGTTGGTGAGTGCAATAGCCAGCCTGCTATTGCAATTTGAAATAGCCAATAGCAGGCTGGCTATTGTACTGCGTACTGTTTACATTCAGCTGCTGGCTGCGGAATCTAGTTGCCAGCAGATGAATGGGGGCCTACTGCTGGCAAGATTCCACAGCTGGGTCACTGGGCAATGTGTTCATCTGCCTGTGGCAAGATTCCCCACCTGGATGTAAACAGAATATCGTTATCTGATATCGGTGATCGGCCTCAAAGGTGGCCCATAATTGGCATCGGTTCTGATCAAACCATATCGGTCGACCCCTCTTATGTATCTGTCACACAACTCCAAAATGGAAGACGTCTCACCTTCACTTTCCTTATCACCCATATGGCAGCATTCTTTTCGATTTTGCTCTAACAATAGCGACAGATAAGTAGTAGTTATATGCCACACTTTTACTAAGCGGTTGCCGCGCGGCCCCATTGATTTCAATGGAGTTACATCAGCGCGGCAATCACAGAAAAAAGGTACATGTACCTTTTTTTTGTGACGCACGACGCGCAGCTGTTTTAGCCACAATCGTGTTTGATTGCACAGGCGGAATCGCGGCAGAAAACCACGCGATCTGCCAGACGCAACTGGGGAGCCATTCGAAAATAACGGCACCGCCAGCATGTATCACGCGCGATTGCAACGCGGTCACCGACAGCCCAGGTGTGAACCTGGCCTTAAAGAAAGTGCAATTGGTGTCACTTCCAATCAAACCAAAACATGGAAGCATAAACAATTGCTGGTTCCGTATTGAACGACTGCTACTGCAAGGTTTGGCTGTAAAATGCAAATGTTTATGACCAGCATAT